ACTTCGGTCTGGTCATTAACACGCAGAAGACGGTGGTGATGCACCAACCGCCACCCAACTCAGCCACAGCCCCCAACGCGCCGCCGCAAATCAGCGTGAACGGAACCCAACTGCAGGTGGTGGAGAACTTCCCATACCTGGGTAGTACTCTCTCCCGCAACACCAAGATCGACGACGAAGTCGCCAACAGGATCTCGAAAGCCAGTCAAGCCTTCGGTCGCCTCCAAAGCACAGTTTGGAATCGTCATGGTCTCCAACTGAGCACGAAGCTGAAGATGTACAAGGCTGTCATACTGCCGACGCTACTGTATGGAGCGGAGACTTGGACGGTGTACGCAAAGCAGGCAAGTCGTCTGAACCACTTCCACCTCAGTTGTCTTCGTCGCATCCTGAGGCTGAACTGGCAGGATCGAATCCCCGACACTGATGTGCTGGAACGGACGAGAATCCTCAGCATCTACGCCATACTGAGGCAAATTCAGCTGCGCTGGTGCGGTCACCTGGTGCGCATGGACGACGAGCGACTACCCAAACGACTCTTCTACGGAGACGTCGCGACGGGTTCTCGCCGTCAAGGAGGCCAGATTCGCCGTTACAAGGATACCCTGAAGTCCTCCCTGAAGCTACTGCAAATCAACCCCACCAACTGGGAGGAGCTCGCACTCAATCGACCGACCTGGAGAAGGACAGTGAAGACAGGCGCTGCGATCTACGAAGCCAACCGCATCGCTGCCGCCAAAGCGAAACGTGAAGCCCGCAAATCACAACTTCGCCCAGTAAGCAACGCCGCCGCACAACCGCTTCCAACGTGTCCTCGATGTCAACGGACATTCCGGGCACGAATCGGACTTGTTGGACATCTTCGGATTAACTGCGCCCCTTGAACGGCACCAACCATCGTCCCCCCGCCTGCCTCTTCCTCCTCCTCTCCGCCGCCAACTAACCCTGACAATTCTTCTGACCCACCACTTCCATCATCCTCCTCCTCCTCCTCCTCGCCCACTGCTCCAACGGCGGCCGCTCAGGCGACTGTCCCACGCACAGCAACCGACACTACCACCACCTCCCCCGACTCCAGGGATGAGGATCAGGACTACACCTGCCCTCACTGCGACCGTACCTTCACCTCACACATCGGCCTGGTCGGTCACTTGCGAATCCATCGTACAGAGCCAGGCGAACCAGTGCGCGAAGCACCAACCTACACCCACCGCACTCGCCTCCACTGCCCACACTGCCCTCGCACCTTCAGGCATCGCATGGGCCTTTTCGGCCACATGCGCATCCACGAGAGCGGCCTTGCCCGCACTCCCGACACACCCACCACATCCAACACATCCACCGTGCACACCCCCACTCTCGTTCCATCCGTCCGCGACACCACCACCACCACCACCACCACCGCCTCCTCTGTAGCTGACACTGACACCGTAGACTTCTCATGTCCACACTGTCCACGCACATTCACCTCACGTATCGGCCTGGTCGGTCACTTGCGAATCCATCGCACAGAGACTGGCGAACCAGTGCCTGGAGCACCCACCTATACCCACCAAGCTCGTCTCAACTGCCCACACTGTCTTCGCACTTTCAGGCATCGCATGAGCCTATTCGGCTACATGCGCATCCACGACGACCTGCGGTAGACAACCGCCGGCCACACCACACATTCACTCACTCCCTACCTCCTCCACCACCACCATCACCCCACCAGAAATCAACACTCACACACCTCATGCACCCAACTGCCACCTCCCAC